CATTAAAACACCGCCTGATCGCCGTAATTAAAAAAAATCGAGCAAAATTAGGCGATATATATACAAGGAGGTTAAAAAAGGGCTAGTTACTTCAATCGGTCTTTCAATGTACATGTATTCATTACACTAAAATACCGCCTGATCGCCGTAATCAAAAAATCTATAATATATAGTATTGTATACAGTCTACATCTATGCTGTTTTGGGGAAGGTTTCGTTTGTCCAACTTTGGTTCCGTGCGTCTCTTTTGTTTACTCTAAATAGATACACCACAAAATTGTAATGAGACCATAAAAGTTTTGAGGGATTTCAAATATATTGTTACTAAGGAATATACCATACTTTCATAAATTGTAGTGATGTCTTCGGCTAATAAAATGTTGCCAAGCTTACAGTGCGAGGAAAAAAGGGACGAATTTCTGAAATGAAGTAACGTGCTGTAGGTGAACGTGTGACCCGTCCGGCATTTTTGTCCGAGGCTAGGCAAGAAATCCTTGCGAACTTCTAAGTAACAGAGAATCCGCCCTAAAAGTCTGCAATAACCTGCAATCGAACGATATAATACTGAGGAATTCGCTATTTCAAAATCTTGTTTGGGAGATGTATGGAGCGGATGAGATTATTGTTTTAGTACAGTACAGGTCAGGTATTTGCAGACGGCACCTGGGCAAGCGCGCGGGGCCGTCTAGATCCATTTACCGTGTCGTCTCGGGAGGTCATACCGTCGGCATGCCCAAGCAGGCGCGTGGGGCTTTGTCGATACCTTTCCCGCGATACAGTTACAAGAGGTGTCGCCGTAGCCACGCCCAGGCTGGCCCGTGCACGTTGGGCCGTCTAAATCCATTTACCGTGCAGTCACGGGTGGTCATGCCGTCGGCACGTCGGCCATTTACGTAGCTTAATATAAGCTTAAATATTCATTTTTAAGCTAACGTTACGCACACTTAAATGCATCTTATTTAAAACAATTTAAAGTAACTGCCAAAGTCATACTTATCTAAGTCTTTATGTTTTAAACGTAGTCAAGAACACATGTGGAGTACACTGCTGCAAATCAGTGCTTTATCTTTACTGCAACATTAAGCGACCTTAAAGATCAAGTAAGGATACGTTTATGTTTAAGTAGACTTTACGTTGTTCTTTAAGAGAGTGTAAAGATTGCCTGCCGATTGTGGCATTTACGATGGCTTAAGTGTGACTTAAATAATGCTTAATTATTATGAAATATTTAAGCCTTATTTACGAACACCATTAAGGATGCTTAAATATCGTTTTTCGTGCAGTGATGGAACGGTCAGTGCGATTTTCTTATGTGCGTAATTTAATGCACTCTTCGTATGTTTTCAAGCCGGGAGCAGGGTTTCATGTTGCCAATAATGGAACCAATACGATTTTGGGGCGATCATCTAACTTAACTCATGACCCCGGGTTGACCGGATGGGTTTATCCCTTACGTAATAGCGAGATACAGGTCATTAATGAGCGGGCCGCGTTGTCCTATGCCCTATCCAAAATGTCGCCTGATGTGAAAAGACGTGAACATGATCTATTCAACGTTAAAACTGAGCAGATGTGCCAGTTAGATCATTTTTATCTCTTTAGCAATCTTTATATGGAAAATCGTTGGTACCAGGAAATGACAATGACAACGTGCGGCGGTGGGATGCACGAGGCTAAATTTAGCAGGTTGCCTTTTCAGCAATTGATGTGGTTGGACATATTAATAAGAACGATTACAAGATGCAAATTATCCGAGTTTAAAGTGGAAATTTTGATGAGATTAAAATCGAGGCTCGGCCTCGATTGGCTTACTATTACGCAGGCTCAAAGAATTGTGGAGCGTTTTAACACTCGCTCTTCTGGTTATGTGGTACCACGTCGATGTGGAAAATCTTCATTCTTCAGCACCATCCTGGCTTTGATCCTCGTGACCTGTCCATATGCCGGGCTCAAAGCATTATACACAGCACATACTCTAAGTGTGGTGTCAGAAATGTATCAAAACATTGCGACCAATGTTGTGCGCCCCCTAGAAGCTTTTAACGCCTATCAGTTGCATCAGTACCAAATGCGCAAGGAAAGAAATAACGGTATTGAGAGTCCTAGTGACTTTTACTTCAAAGCCGAGGCCAGACCTTACACTCACGGCCAAATTATAAGGGTCGAATTCTTCAAATTGAATGATGACGGAGTTTTGAATCTAGCAGGTGAGAAGAAGTTGGTAAACTCTCTTCACTGTAAACTATGTATACGACCCAATAGCCTACGAGGTCTTACATATAATATGGTGATAGTTGACGAGGCCCATTTTGTGCCAGCTAATGTGTATGAGACTTTCTTACCATGGACCGCTACGGATGATGGTACCATGGTAATGATGTCATCGCACAAATGTGGTCAGGACAACAATTCATACGTGGATTTAAACAATGTACGCATGTCAGGCATCTTGATGAACACGGTCGGTTATGTTTGTCGTCACCACCTACTGAGCATGATTAGAGCACCACATATCGGAGTCTTAAGCTGCCTTTGTAATTTTTTCAGCCAACCCTTACATATCAACACCGATAAAGATTATAAGAAAATGATGATCGCATTTACGGCACAGAGAGGATCCTCGAGCGATACAGAGAGCGATCACGTTAACAACAAGACAGCTATGCTATCAGAAGTGGGAGGCATTCCTCAGGGCCTAAATAAAGACGACCTAGTCAATGTCGACGTTAAGAAGATTTCCCTTGCCAATGAATCGGGAACCCGACATTTTATGATTCAGTCCATCCCCGTGGAAGCCTATCTATGTACTCGCACGCGGAAGGATATGACTTTTTCCGAAGATGTGTTATGTTACATAGACCCTTCACCTACTGACGTCACGCGGTCTTACAATGCTATGGCTTTCGTCACGGTAGCCAGCAAGCCCCTTTACTTGCCGAACAGTAGTAACAGACCCGACGGCAGAGAAGTTATGTTTAATAAATATGTGGTGTTGGCCCACGAGGACTACAGACCAAGATGGGTTGATCCTGATAACAGTTTGGACGATATGACCATCATGGCAAAGGTCTTCATGATTACGGTGCGGGCCATTACGTTGCTATATGGTGGCCATTTTAAACGATTTATCGTTGTACCTGAGTCCAATGCTTTAGCAGTGGACACTTTTTGGTCGGCCTGTGGCATGTATCTTGCCCAGGAGGAGTATGCTTCGGTGCTCTGTCCCCATAACGTTATTATCGTCTCCACAGTGACCGAAACTCGCATTGCCTCGGGGAGGCGACCATCCGAAAAGAGGACTGAGCGCATCGTACGCCGTGCAAAGCAACGTCATGAAAACCGATTCAACCCGTACATCACATCCGAAAGCGAGAACCAATTGCTCCGTTCATACCCCCAACGAAGTTACTTCCTAGACAACAGTCTTATTCCATTACCCGTCAATACCGAGTCATACAGGCCTCAAATTGAAATGTTGACGCAAGAAGAGATTGCTCAGAATAGGATGTGTGAAATGGATGAGCCTCCCATTTTCAAACTTGGCTATTCTCTTGGTAGAGATAAAGTTCAAAGACATTGGGACTTTTTCACTCGATGCTATAATCGGAATCCTAATAACATGTCCGACATCACGTGTGCTCGGCAAATCTTCAGTTTCTGGCTGACGTGCAAAGGGGAATCCATTCCGAGTTATATTGCGCGCAACATGGCAGCCATCTGTTTACACCGTAGCCAAAAGGCGACCACCTCTTGGACGTGTAGCGGAAAAGATAGAGTTTCGAATGGAAAATTTATACGCGATGACCCAGCTTTGGTAGTTATAATGGCTACTACCATCCTGGCAGACATCATAAACGGGACATATGTCGGGAAGTTTCTCAGGCTTGAGGCCAACACACATCACAGTGGCCAAAAGTGAAAATGGCTGTGCATTCATTTAAGTTTTGAACTCTTGACCTCCGGCGGTGAGTTTCTTGGAAACCTGCCAGGAGACGGGAAGGTAACGTGCTCGGCACGGACGGACACCGGACGAACTCAGCGAGGAACTTCCTCCATATGTCCGGAAGCGCCCCTTGGTTACAGTCTTATCACTGGTAGGATCTGCTTGGAGATTAATCACTGTGAGCCACTGGACTGTGACTTCAGAATAAGTCGGGAATTTCGGCTGGCGGGTGGTCTTCCCAGCGGTCTGGTCCTAAAGTCGGCCATTTGTGTCCCGGTTCTTGGCCTCGCAAGCCACAACAAAGGTGAATATCCATTTTTTTTTCACGCAAAATAGGTCTCGTTTCTGTCCTGTGCTCGATAGAAAGTAAGCGATTGGTTGACGATGATATAGATTTTACTATTGTGAGCTCTTTCGATGGCGTAAAGCCGCACACCCATGAAGAACGCTGGGAAAGTGATTATCGGTACATCTACATTCTTTTTGTCATCTATCAGATCGCCATGTTTCGTCTCGTTTTCGTCTACCTGATTCTGAGAGGGCTCTGTAACGTATATGTCCGGGGAGATAGCGATCGCCTGGACTTCACCCTCAGGAAGCCAACACCGTCAAACCCAGAGATGGGTTATAGTTGTGTGTACGAAAACTCCAGCCCCGGATCCACCAGAATGGCGACTACAATGACAATTGCATTGACTGGGACCACCCTCACTGTTAAGGCCACCAATACCGCAACATCTTATCCTTCTCAGTGCACGGAATCCATTACAACGACACCCTTAACAACCCGGGAGAATGGGACAATGTTCTCGCCTGAAATGCGAGACATACATATCATGTTGAAAAGGACCGCTGTCTGTGACACTATCGGGGATCACGACTCTGGACACAGCGTTCAAAAGAGGACACTAGGATTTAACATTCCTCCTCGTGATGCTTTGATGGGTATGTGGTCCTGCACAGCCGTTATATGTGATCGCGCTGATGTAAACCTATGTACATTTTTTTATAAAACTATCGACACGAGCTCGTATAAGTCGGGCTTGTCGGGTCACAAACTCATTCTTTCAGTTCGCCAGCATCCGAGTGTACATGACGCTAATCACGGGATTGACTCTGTTCCATTCTTATGCCAAGCCAATGGATTCGACAAGACCACCGACTTATTGGGCGTCAACAAGGCGCAACATGTGCCCGACTTTATTCCCAGAAACCCAATAAGCTTTCACCTTCGAATTAACGACAAGCGCGAATATAAAGTGACGGGTGACCTCTATGGCCGGAACATTAATATCACCACCGACATCCTGGCCCCTAACAGTGAGTGTATCAATATGACATCACGTCCATTTCCCCAGCTATCGGATGGGGCTGTGTATCACTATCGCACGGAATGCTACGAGGAAGTGGCCCAATGGAAAGGACACGAAATGCCTTACAACAACCTCTTAATTGATGATAAGACTTGTTACGACTTTCTCTTGTTTGGATGGGGTGGTAGTGTTGACACCGATTTCGAAAAGATGCCAAATGCGCAGAAATATCTTCTTGATTACATGCCCCGCATCATCCCATCTGACTGGCAATTTCCTGATCAACCACCTGCCGAGTCGCGATTTAATTATTATATGCCGGCCGACATCAGCCGCGTTGTTATGAGACTACCCGAACGGCCTTTCAACCCCCAAAGCGGCGATGACTGTCTGAGACTGACTACTCGATCTCAAGAAAGGAAAGTTGTAAACTCGACAGGTTCCAGTGATGTCGTTAACATGCATAAATATCTATGCCCCACCACTGATCTCATCACAGACTGGTTTAAAGGTTTTGCGTACCTTGTGACCCATTATCAATACCTGTCCATGCGCACCATAGTGGGACCTCTGAGGGGTCCTGCTACGAGTGTAAGGCTGACTTGCCCGAGGGCTGGTCACGTGGTCTTTATTTCAAATCCTCGCTGTAAGTATGCTGGTATGAGAGAGACTCCCACTGGGACGTGCACTGAGGGTTGGTCGGGTTATACAGTAAAGAGAGATGCCTACAGAACCCCCATTACTATTGAGCAGATTGGTCACCAATATATGTCCGGAAACGAATGGCCCTCAGACATGGAGTGTATGTATCGGTTCTACATGTGTGGGTTTGGCCCTCGCAGTGTCTATGCTCAAGTCAAGGAACTCATCTTAGTGAACCCCGAGCATGCGTACACAGCCTTAAGCACACGCCCTACCCGCCAATACGTCATGCCGGACGAGTGCTTGTACTCTGAAGTCCAACACGGATCTTTAACTCATGTTGCCCCGCAGTGCGGGGCCACCTCGAGGCAATGTAGTGCCTTTAGTCTGGTCGGTATTGAAGAGAAAATTCTTCGTACTCTCCAAGCTGCGGGTGCTGAATGGGGGACAAGTGTACGCGCCATCCCTTTTAATCGCACCCATGTCTTAAGGGGCAAATGTCCGTGCACACAGGTTCCCGATACCTGCCAACCTACCTGGACTTATTGGCAAAGAAACAACGAGTCCTTATTTGAATATAAGGTGCGTATGCAATCGGTAATTGCTCACACATCTGTACCCTTTGGAGTTTTTAAGGCTCTAACCGCTGTCGATAAGCATGCCAAAATGTGGTGTGAAGCTGGTGGATACATGTCAGAACCCCGAACCATGGATGACATCAGTTTAGAATACGCATGCCGTAAATTACGAGGAAGCAACGAATCAGAAGCGCGCATGGTGATGGAAATGAACAAAAAGATGCTCTCGGTTCCCGTGATGAGTTTAAGACGTCACGAAAGCGGCGCCGGGGATTACGTACGCATTGCCTGTTCTGAGATTCCTGTGGCTTGTATGGAGGCTAGTAAAACCAGTGCCGAAATTCTCCTCGCTAGGGATAGTGGTGTGATATCGCGTTACACATATTCATTAGGGACGAAACGAATCAACAAGGTGACGGTGGCAGAGAATGGTACCACTAACAATGGTTACATTGGGCTTACCACAGAGGATGAAAATACGACAGATCCTAGTATCGAGTCCGATAGCAACGGGAAGATTTCCTTTAGCTTTGTCATTAAAGAAAGTTACCTCAAGACTTACCACAGCGCAGAGTGCACATATGGACCAGAGAATTTGATAAAAAGTAAAATATACGAAGTCGATAGAGGGTTGGACCAGATAAAAGAGATGTGCGTCCCAAGTGACGTTACGATTTCTCTTCGCAAGAACGGTAACATCTACCAATGTGATGTCGTCTTAGAGCGGAATTCCACATGCGATATTTCTTACATCACTCTAGGTGGACAAAAGACAGATCAGATAGGTTTCACGTTTCAGTATTTCTGTGATGACATGGGGAATACCATTTCTGCCATTCAAGACCCAGATACCGGTGACGGCGATGCCATTAGCGCTCGCACTCGGTTCCGACCGACCGCTTCAGATAAATGGTGTCGTAAGGAAAGATCCCGCGCAGAGGACACCCAATATATAGCTGTGGCTCACGTCAATTCGAACGTGCTCAACGAGTATACACACATCACGTGCGGCTATAAGACAATGACAGATGACAGTGTGGAGGATGAAGGAGCAGAAAAAAGTCTGACAATAGCCGCGAGTGATGTTTTGAGTGATTGTATCGTTCCTGCTCTCCCAGTGGTCCCTATCCCGGAACTTCTGGTTGGCATCCCAGCCGGTAGTGCAGCTAATGACCCAAGCGTATACACCGAGCTAGCGTGCCGTCACGCACCTGTCGTGGGTTCCCGTGTATGTGACTATTATGGGGACATACCAAAGACTATCGTTTTATGGGCCGAAATCCAAGGCATTTTTCTTAATCCCAAATTCATACCCGTTGCCACGTCTCAATCAGGCAGGTGTGAAAATCACCTCGATTTTACTAACTGTGACGTCACCTCGCTTCCTAGTTACATGATGATGCGAGTTCGCGTCACACCCAACACTTTTCTCAAGACGTATGCCAAAACAATAGGTCTCCAGATTCACTTTAGGTGCGGTACGGATGGCCCAACAATCCATCGCATTAAGGATCCCAACCTGGCTAAGATTGTCAAAACTGGGGCGTGGCACACGACCCCCTCCCCCGTCTCTCCAAAAAATGAAATCATTTCCGACACCACAAAACAAACTTCCGGCAATGTTTCCGTGATTCCCAATAACTTAATCGGCTGCAGTCTGATAGCTCTCACCGTGGTAACTATCTCTATCTATGTGTTAGCGTGTTAATGTGTTAGTCGCCCCGCGACGTTGTATGAATTAATCTATATGTAATCGAAAAATAAAATTCATAACATCTCAGAGGTCTGAAGTTTCTTTGTTTATTAACGTAAGAAGATTAATCGTCATTAATTGTGAACACGAGTCCAATAATGAAGTGAGACGAATATATTTGAATATTCATTCATTTCTATTTACTTTCCCTGACTCTGCAAGATGTCTACAGAGTGCAAATAGCTACAATTAGTTTAAAACTCCCAAAATTTGGTGTGCATTTTACCGTAGGCACCCTTTCTGCTAACACCGTCGCATGCTTCGATGCACGAATCACACAAGTATTTTGCAGTGTTATTGAGTAACGAGTATAGCTCGACCTCGTCATCTTCAACCAACTTCTTTTCCTTCGCCACACGGTGTCGTCTCATGATATACCGCACACATATGGGTAAGAACATGAAAATAGACAGAAGGAATGCGATGAGTGACATACCAAAGGGGGCAAAGATGGCCGATATGATCAGACCTATATTGTTTCCAAAGATACCAGAGACAACATCTCCTAGCGCTGCAGAGACACTGCCGCTCTTCATGATGACATCATTCGAAAAATCACGCACTTTAGCCAGTAATTCTTGGTCTCGGTGAGCAAATACTTTAGTTTGTTGTTTAGCTAGTTGTACGGCCTTAACCAATCGCGTGGAATATTTGTGGGATTCCTCTACATACCTTGAAAAATTATCCGGATGATATTCGATGGGAGAAAACTTGTAACTGTTCCCATAGTAACGATTGGTTAACGTGGCAAACGAATTGGCTAAATCCAAGTCTTTTTGTGGGTCCCATGTCTGAATGGCCACAAAATTCCGGTAATTATACTGTGAAACATGCGGGACACCACCAGAGATTTCATTGGAGCATCCCGTCATACGGCGGCCAAGGTAGAAATGTTTAGCCTCTAAGGTACACCCACACGGGATCTCCTTATCACAATTACAAGCCCTGATGTGCTGCAGGGGCAATTTCTTTGAATTGCACGTCAAATCCCACGTGAGGTGCTTATTTGTCCCAGAATGCATTCGAAAAACACCAGTATCGGAAATCTGTACGGCCGAAGGAAAAGGGTGTTTCTTAGTGTAGCGGAACTCGCACGTTTCACGTATCTCAGGATGGTCGTCCGCAAACAAGGCATAGGCACAGCTGTTTCTATGTCGTTTGTGCTGTAATATGGGTAAGCCGTAGTAACAAAGTTTAATACCAGACGAACCCATTGCCCTACAGGACAAGTATTGGGGGAGGGACAAATGGGTATAAAAGGTGAGGTCATCTGTTATAGCGAGGTAGGCGGGGTAATTATGTAAAATGGTGTAACCACCATCTTTTGATGGATCAAACACCATACCACTCTGTACCGAAACGGGGAAGACGTCGAGTCTATAGACAGGGACTAGTCCAGTCATGCGATATAGTGGGACCCGAACAGTAATATGTATGAATCTTTCCGTTCGGCCATAAATAATGTCTTTGAGTTGGTAATAAAAGCTTGGCGTTTGACTCAATAGTCGATAATTGGAATAGGCTGATTGGGTGAGAATGTGATCATTGATATGGTTCACTAGTTCCTCAATCATTTCCGTGGTGACCAGTTCGGGAGGTAGATAACCTTCAAGTAAGCGCTGAATTCCGCTTACCCAGGCTGTCTCGACTCGCCGCACGTCCATCAGACCAAGTCTCACCTTTTCCAAGGCCGGGTCTATTTTGGTTAATATCTTATCCATGCCTTTCTCCACAAAATCCATACGCTGATTAAAACCTGCCCCAGCCTCCAAAGTTTTTTTATGTAATTGGTTCATGGCCGTTCTTTCTGCATCTATTAGCTTAACTTGGGCGTCATTCTCCCTCTGTACGTCGGTGACACGAGTATTCAAGCTGGCAAACACACTGGACATAGTATGACCAAAGGCCACAACAGATCCTACTCGCTCATATATGCTAACTCCTGCCTCCCGTAAATGATTTTGAATGTCGCGTATGGCTCGAATTCCCGGCTGATGGAAGAGGTCAGCAAAGAATTGGGTTACCTTATGTAAGGGGTTATAGTCGGGCGGGAGGGAATTCAGCCATTCGGGAAGGTAGTTGGGATCAATCGAGGTCTGGTCTACAGATGATGGAACTTCTCGCCGGATTCGATGGGCTACCTCGTCCTGGTAATCGGCTTCATATTCCACCGCATCGACACCGATAATCTCATTATCTCTACTATGTTTCTCAAAGTTGTCATCCGCGTGTATCTCGTCTTCAGTAATGAACCAGAATGGGTCGACACTCCTCTTACTTCGCCCCATATTTGCCGATACCGTGGTGCTATTATTGTCAAGTTTAATCATTTGGAAAGCATGGTAAACATTGGTACGGGACTGAAACATTGTTGCTGTGGCTAAATCGTTAGTAGCTTCCACCAAATCATTAACTTTGTTACATACTTTCCACAGCGACAGAGTGGTACAGTTAAACAGTTGTAAATTCGTATACGTCATGTTAGGAATTGGTAGGGCCCACGTGTGTTCATAGAATGCCACACTTGAGCCATCGACGATTTGTCCTGCATGAATAAAGTCTATCCCATTAGCAGGCCGGCGTCTTACGTGGATATTAAAGCACTCTCCCGTAGAGCACAGATATGTATAAACAACTGACACGAAGCAGAACAAATGCATCGCCGCCATTGTAAATAATTTGTCTTTAGCCCGCATCTCCCCCCCCCCTTAATGTATTTAATGCTGATCAACTGAGAAAATAAAAACACCTCCACAATGTACATAGTAGCTCAGTCGGTTCTTTTTATTTTCATATTTTTTCATTTATACTACAACTGGACCATAGAGTGTTGGGGTATTTTGTAGACCCAGAGAATGATTTAATCAAGACAAAAAAAAAATGATGTATCCATCCACCAAGCAATCAACGGTAGGAGTGGAATCTGGTCAACAGAGGTTTGAATTCGGGTGACTCCATGGTCTCAGTGCCCAATCGCTGATCTTCACTAGTCATACACGGCAACTTGAAATGAAAACATATAATAACTGTTGCTAAATCATCTGTCCCCATACGTGACCCCCCATCCGTGACCGGGTCAGTGTCTACGTAACGGAGGACGTCCTTTAGGCGACTTCTCCGCTCGGCCTCCTCTCCACATAGCCGTAGGTTTTCAGAGCGATTTTGCACCTGAGTACTGTACCATATTGATTCCATGGGATTGCAAGGTGTACGTTTGGCTGCATTTATCACGTGTCTCACTAGGCAAGTGGTCGGAATCCCCCAATCAAATCGAGTTGTTTGTGTTATGCTGTGCGTTCTTCGCAAGGTGACAAACCTCTGGCCGTCTTCATCGGGTTTGTCAAAAAACAGGTGCGCCTCGTGGTGGCCAGGTAACTGTTCAATCAGTCCACAAAGCAGTGTCTGCCAGGCTGGTGATTTTTTACACGCAATGATGAGATGTCCCATGTCCACATGACTATTCCTTCCGTACCAGGCTACTATATGGGATAAAAGCACGCCCGCCAATTGATCGGGCGAGGTCGATGGTTTCTGAAATTGGAATTCCAGCGTTTCCAGGATAGTTTTGGGATCGATAGGTGTTGTCAAATGATGATTATTTGAAAAAGACATGTGGTAGTTAGGTATAAACTTAATCGCCATGGTTGGGTAGAGGTAAACCAAGGTAGATGGTGTCGCAGGCATTGCTTTCTTTGGAATGGGCTTCTGTGCCTTGCGGATCTTATCTTTCACTCCCCTTAGGTAGCCGCTACCTCTACGATTTTCCGACAAACGCTTCGTGGTTATCTTCCCCATACTTATAAAGCTGTATTAGGTACAAATCGAAGCAAAGCCTCGTATCATTTGAACTATCTGACGATGGGAGGCAAGTGACCCGTAATATTTTTAACAGACGCTCTCTTACCAGTGGAACCCCCAGGATTCAGGTCACTTCGCCTTTTTAAACTTCTATTGCCTTTTACCAATTTGTTAGAGACAGGCCTTGTAGATGGTTTTTGTTTGGAATTAGGTTGGGTGAACTCCCTCACAAAGTCTCCATATTGTGAAAGAGGAACACCCTGCTGATTTCCCAAATCGGGTCCAAACATGAGATCATCCTCTTCAGACCCACTGTTCTCCCCCCCCTCCCTCTCTGCCGTCTCATCATTTTTGTCACTATGGGCCTGGGTACCAAAGTCTTGGTTACCGACTGGTTCCAGCTGCGCGCTGGGGGCCGGTGATGTCGTTGATTGCTGCACTACTTGTGACTCGGGTAAACTTTCTAAAACACCTGTATCTTCATGTGAAGCTTCAAGAACGTAGGGGTCGGGCATCACTGGAATCAATGCATCTAAGGGCTGGACCATATACTCTTGGTCCCGCAGGTACCACAGATGGCAGAAGATTCCAGGACCGATGCTGAAAGTATAAGAGTTAATTTTGTTCACGCATGACCCCTCGAGAGTGACCATTTCTTCGATTTCGTGGGGATTAACGGAAACTCGACCAATCTTATAAAGAATGATGTCACGCCACTGGCGCGGAAGTACATTATGACAAGCTGTATTCCTACAGCACCTGCTTTTTATTTCTTGGACCACACCATAGTCAGTGGTAGAGACCGGAGCAAAAACAAAGGCCAAAGTGTATGATTGGTCGTATACGGTAACATCTTTGGTCAATCTTCGCCCCTGCATTACCGTACTCGGTCGTAGCCCAGTGTGCAACCTATCCCCGCCTGCAGTGGAAGAGCTCATGTGGCGACTTGATCCAGGGCCCAGAAGTAACTCATTGTTTGGCCCTATGGCCACATAGATATTCATTGAGTCATCAACTCCGTGTATCGATTCTTTCAGATTGAGGGTGCGGTCAACAGGGATCATCCAAGGCAAACTCATGGTACCAGTCACAGTACCATGGGCCAACACATCTGACTTAAACCGATTCATACCGGTCATAGGGGTGATGGTCTCGTTATTGAGTAGGCCGTAAGGGCGCATCCTAGACATCACAGCATGTACAGCACTTTGCTTAGCGTGTAAGGTTGCGTAGTCGATGTATTCTCGCCGCACCTTTTCTGACAGGGTGTCGGCCATGATGGCTTTCGCAACTGGGCCCATGTTTGCGAACTCGTAGGGAGGCACAATGGTATGTAACTGTTCTAAGATAGAAATAAGAGTCGCTGTATCCACCACACAACCGTCCATATTCAGCCCACTTTCCCTTGTAGTCATCAGACTGTTGATAAAGTCTTCGGGGTAACGGGGATTATATTCCCATAATAAGTTACAAGTCTTCAAATCGGCATAAATACCCGCACCTTTAGTATCGTTGGGTTTGGCTATATAACGCTCGCTCAGGATAACATGTTGGATGATGGCATTTCTCGGCACGTTTGTATCGGCGGGTACCCCAGCAACATTCCCTGTATACAAATTCATGGCGGAGTCGTCACGGTGGTTCAAAATTTGCTATGCAAGCAAAGACCTTGTTTTCAGTCCTCTCGTTTAATCTCCAAAAATGTTTAGGCTCATAACTCTCGCTCACCTTCTCGTATGTGGAGGATTGAGCATTTATGTGGTCTATTATTTGAATAGGCTATATACAAAAACAATTGAACCCGCCGACATGTTATGTCCGTTAATCAGCGGCTGTCGCGCCGCGCCGAGTACAGGCTTTGCCTCAACCATCACCCTCTGTCAAGCTACCAAACAAGTCAACTGCTCGGGGTCCTCCAGATGCTGTGAAGAATGCCGAAAGCTAGCAGACAAATCAACAAAAGATAGCCTCACTGTTATAAACTTCACCGATTCTAAACCGCACCTCGATACCGTGCAAGTTCCGGGCATAGGAGCAGCTATTTGTTTGGGCAGCTACATTTTTTTGCTGCTCTTGTCGGCAAAACGTACGCTGCTTTACAGCAAGAGTGTGTATTTTCATACGGCTCGCACTTTGATGGGTGTTTTATTAGTCGTAACGATGATTGGTTTATTGAGTCTTACCACATTCGTTTGGGCTTCAGTACCCCTTAACTTGACTTTCTTCCGCGATTGCGAATCACGCTTCATTCTTCAAATATCTTGGGGCATTGTGTGCTTCATAATGACGTTGGATTTTGTTGGGTCAATTGTGCCCACCACCAACGCTAAGATTGCTTTTATCAGGAGCAAGAGGAGGGCTGCCAAACTGCGGGGAGTATTTCTTCGCGATGACTGCTTCTCTGAGGACTATGAGACGTCCGTGATTGGCAAACCTCAAACCAAACTGGTCTGCGGAAAGTTTTTATTTACCAGCCTAGTGGATACTATTGGAGGAGTTGTTTTCATGTGGTGGCCCATCGTCATTGTTTACATGGTCGGAATCGGGAATGGGACCTGGCCAGTATTAATACGCCAGCTGAACAAATAATAAACCGACCCTTGTCACCTCCTTCACTACCCTGATCTTTGCCTCGCCTTAAAAGGGTAGTAATGGATCGTGGACGTCATATGGACGTATTTTTTATGTCATTTCCTAGGACCAGTTACAATATTCCCTAGGAGACATCGTACATGAAGGGGCAAGAAAAAACGACTATTACCCAATAGCTCAGAAAGATATCGCCAGGCGTGAACGCAGCGCGCTTGATGTGGGGGAGTATTTAAGTTATACTTTGTATCGTTGGTGATTGAAAAGAGCTCTTGGTAAAGAGGACGATAAATCAAGTCATAGACGCGTGACGAATTAAGTCAACGAGGAGTGGCTTATGACGTCACATAGTATATGGTTTATAAATATCAGATATTACAATAAGGCACCCTTTTTAAGGGTACTGGTTCATCTGCCGACACTTCATTCGTGCACCCTTGACCATGGAGGTTGACGCTACTAGCACAAGCCTAGAGGGTGGTGATGCGGGCACTCTCTCCATTGATCTCAACACACAGCCAAATGTGACCACCAAAGATGTCAATGTCGATAGTGAGGATCAACTGACGCTCGAAATAGACAAATTGGACGAGTTTGAATTTTTGGAAGAGATAGAGGAGGCGAAATCCACCCAAGCAACCGCTGAGAAAACTGCTAGTATGCCTGGTAGAGAAGCCAGGCCTGCAGAAATTTATTCTACCTACCTCAGAATGCAACAATATTTGAAGAACAAAACGTGGCACCGCCGGTTCGGGCACTACGCGAAACTCACACCGGATTTCACTGATTGGGCTATACCTCCCACCATTGTGTTGCGTGAGGAAAACGATTTTGATATTGACTTGTATCCAGAACATTCTTCCTGGTCACCCCCTAGCATCGAAATGATGCGTTTTATAAAATATCCGACCGATGTGACGATCTCTGTATATGAACAGCTGATCGTGAACGATCCAGATACCTTGCGAAGACTACCAGCGCTAAGCGGGCAGCGACTAGGAGTCTGCGATCTCAAGACTACTGTCGGACATTTGCTGATTGCTCTCTTCAGGCTCTTAGTAACGAATGAGATGGTGAGAAATTACACATTTACAGCACGAGATCTACAGGATATATACGTGAATAATCGTTTTAAGTCTCGGGGGGAAAGGCCCAGTGTACCCTTTTCTGTTGGTCGTCCCAACGACAGGACCCGCAAAAACCTACACCGGATGGCTACACTGTCGTTCCATAAAGAAGATAACGACAATTGTGTAGACAATTGTGCAGAGTGCTGCAAAGATCTTCCCACAGTGAAAGCACTTCGTGCGTTAATGGACACTACTCCCGCCTGCAACCCCGCGCCCCCCAATTACTTTGATTTTAACGAGAGTAAAAATGTAGTCCTTGACACACAGCCAGGTCATATTGCTGGGCGTGAACGTCACTCCAGGCACCAAAGAAACAAGAGACCGTCCAGGGCCGGATCTCAGGACAGCTCAAGACGAAGGTACTCGAACAAAGACAGACGAAGAACGTCTACCACCACCCAACGCAATTTCCCAGAGGCAAGGGAAGATAAGTCGTCTCTTCCCCCTAGACCCAGACGACAAGACAGCGCTACCACAGACGTGCGTGACCACATTATGAGTCGCGGTCAACATCGCTACGAACATCAAATAAACAGGAGACGTTGGAACTTTAGATCGCCAGGGAACTCAACACGCTATAGGGATCGCTTTTCCCAAATGTCTCACCCCCATCGCTATTCCCCGTATGAATGGCGACGATGCCATCGTTTGCCCACAGAGAGAGGAAGACTGTCTACCAACACACGCCATTACCAAGGGGACTTTGAAGATGTGTCGGCAATCGAATCTAGCGTGAACGGCGCCCGCAACCCTTCACGACTTGAGCAGACGGGAAGTCTTTCCATCAGACCCAGACAACAAAACAGTGCTGCTTTTGCCAACGTTGCCACAGACATGCGTGACGAGGACCATCGTTATGGGCACCTAAGAAACAGGACACGTTTCAAATCTAGATCTCCGGACAACTCAACACGCCATGAGGATTACTTTCCCCGAATGTGGCACCCCCATCGCTATTCCCCGTACAACTGGGGAGATTGGTCACATTATTATCATTATAAGGCTTAGCCGACATCATCGATCCGCTACGAGATTGTGGAACCAACAGACAGATGAACACTGAATTCGACACTATGAATATTCGCTACTTATTGCTCGAGCTATCCGACATCCGTCGCCTTCACGGATTGTCCTATCCTTGATCTTCAGGAAAAGGATCGCTACTTCACCATACAAGACCAATACGTGGCTTTTATCCGCTTCCTTATTGTCGGACTACTAGAGTGTGGCGGTGATAGCAATGATAACAACAGTAAACGGCATGAATATAGCTTGATGTTATGACCACGATAGCGTCACCCCGCTCCAGCTGTGGCTATGTGTGATACTTAATGAACTTTTAACAATTAGTGTGATTTGTGCTCTATGAAACTTATTATGGGGTTGTTTGGATACGCATCTTTTGGTATAACTACTTTGGCTGCATGTTTAGCTACATATATAAATTAGACGAGTAGACACACACACACACACACACACACACACACACACACACACACACACACACAGACACACACACACAGACAGATATATGTACGTGTGGTAAAAGTGATTGCTAAATATAAATGAGCTATATACGTATTGTAAAATGAATGTCATATAGTCTTAACTTACCTTAGATCCTCCCGCAACCTTGTTGCGTATGTCGACTATATGCACATATAGTCTAAATATATATATATATATATTTATATATACGTGTGTTAAAAGTGAATGTCATATATACACATATGGTAAAAGTGAATGTCATATATACACATATGTTAAAAGTGAATGCCATATATATACGAATGTTAAAATAAGTGTCGTAATGCATGTTTATCACCTTTAGGTAACTGCGAAATTGTAAATCAAATTGCATGTCTGCCATTGAAGCCCGCAATTCTATGCTATTTCTTGCAAGGACGTAATAAACCATTCATTCAGGCAGTCAGTCATTTATTCATTCTAATGAGAGTCTTATGGGGGGAAAGAAACAAGTCTCTTTTTTTACACGTTTGGGGCACGCGCGGGGAGGAGCGGGTCACGGGATATAGTTATTAGCCACTTTTTACATATATGCTCCCTTATAGATTCTTGATTATGGATAAACTCATTAGTCTAACGACAATTCCGCGATTAGTAAACGATGCTTGTTTCAAACAAGCATATGGCGATTCATGTAATTGGGAACGTGGATATAAAACTTATGACGAAGACGAATTTGGCCAATGGCTTACCTCTATGGGTGGTGCTGGTAACGATGGTGACGGGTGCTCCAAAGAATCTCGCCAAGCTTATGACAGGATTGTAAAATTTCTTCGATCCCCCGATGCTACCACACGAGACTTGGTAAATCGTAAGGCGTTGCTGGATCTTGGTCTGGATCCCACAATGGTCAGGGATGCTTTAGGATGCTTTGTAGGTGGTCCTGATGTACCTGTAAAACATATGAACGAGTTTAAATTGCGTCACGTGGCACAAATGGCCTTATATTTGAACACTGTAGGGTTAGAGTTTGGTAATGATCTCATCAATGTAATTAAGACCTTTTACACCAGCGCACGAGGGATGGACGACGTCATTACGGGTAAGACTACGGTCGGAGATAATGCGGTGGTCAACAAAGTTTCTGAGATGGGTGGTTATCAAACTTATGCTTCTACTATGACCGCGGAGCAAATCCAAGAAATGACCAAATCATCCCGACAAAGCCACATGATGAACGAATCTGTCAAGACCAGTGTACAATTCACCATGGACGAAATGGTCTCGGTCATTTGTGAGCTGGTTAAACTTCCTACGATAAACACCGACATCATATTCAATGCCTTGTCTTACGAGCTCTTGGAACCCCGCTATATGACCGATCTTTTTTATGCTGCCGTGCGACAAGTCGAGGAAGTCTATGAAGACCCTGATCAAATCGCCATCCTGGTCTCTCAGATTTGTAACCGTCCAATTAACATTTTGGGAAGCAATCGCATGGCAACTTTTCGAACAGAGCTTTATGATATGGTTATGCCTCGCCGTTTTATTCTTGTTCGCCGAGACAGCACTCCCAACATGGACCATCTCTTGAACACATTGTTAGGTGCTTCATCGGCTATCGTCCGCAGTTTCTATGAAATTTGTAACTTTATTGACTTTGACGGACTGACCAGTAGTGACGAAGTCATAACCCGCATCCAATTACTAGAAAAGACGGTGGTACGTAACCTCAAAAAGTACCCCACCCCATTGAATAACTTTAGCAAAAATTGGACCATGCACGTCGAAGCCAGTATCCGCCCACGATTGATCGATGAATTCAAATGCCTATTCGGCACTCAGCAATGTTTTCTCATGTGGCTTGAGTTATGCCGCCGCTTTGTGGACTTTTTTAGGTATACCGATGTAGGTAACCCTTTTGAGTGCCGGGTGGTCGGAGACCACATAGTGCCCAATGAACAGCCTCACCCCGACGCCACAATGGGAGATAGCCATCCGTACAGAGTTCTTCCCACCAATACAATATACTACGACGGCAACTTCTATTACGGCTTTTGGGAAAGGGGCTATAAATGTCGGAGCTATCGTGGCCTTCTAGCACGGGTCTGGTACGATGAGTATTATACAACCCTGACATGAAATCCATAGATGACTCGATACTCATGAGGAACTGCAACCAAAGGCGCATGTCATACCTTCAAAATACAGACACTGTTATTCACTTTGGCACCGTTTGTTAAAATATAATGAAAAAAAAACACATAGTGACATATCTTTATACTCCAACTGTGTTTTATTTCATTTCATTTCATTTGATTTGATTCATTAGTCCAGCTGCAAGAGTGAGACAATGTAGAAACAAGTCCCTGGCGGTGCGCGTTTCAGATGGTGGGAAGCTGTTGGGATAATGGATATCTGGGATAATGGATATCGGGCGGACTTGACTCACAACCTCTAGGCAGCTAATCAGTAGTGAGTTGCGGCATGGAATGAAACGCCGTTTTCATATTCAACGTCTTGTTCTCCATTCTCCTGTTGCTGAGTCGTTGGTTCCCAAGGATGGGTGAAGTAGGAATCTGGTGTATCATTCAATGCAAAGTCGAAATGCTCATTCAAAGGAAAGTGGTGGTGCACCAGGCTGGGATTATGAATTACACCTGATACCTTCAAATGTTTGTTCTGCTTCAGTCGGGTTATTGGGAGATCAGTCTGTAAGACAGCTTGGATGGGGTGAGCCCCATCTATCACGTCGGGGCGGGAGTTGAAGCACGGACACTGTACTGTAAATTCGTCATCAACTGTGATATACGTCGGCGCGTACATCGGGACTCTCGTCAAGGAGGTAAAGCTCTGTAGAGGTGCGCGGGAAACCGTTTCATACATGCTGCTTGGATGAATGGTGAACTCGATCCAAAACTCCAACGACCTGGCATTGGATTGAAACTGATCAAAGATGATCGTGTCAATATAGTTTCCAATCTCTTGCATGGTGACTTGAATTGGAGCGTTAGGCAGCAAGTGTGGCAGATGCGTCTGCTCGCTGCATGCCTTGATCTGCACATCCTTGTCTCGGTTTAACGTGGTTGTAAAATAAAGGCCTTGCTTCCGACGGCTTCTGCGTAAAGATGACATGGCGATGTGCTGTAGAGCTGAGATGATCTGGTGCCCGAGGATAAGTGATAGTGAATTGATAAATTGGCTGTAGCGGAAGTCACGTGATGAGAAATTGATTCATGAATAAAACAAAATGATAATGAATTGCTATTTCCTGGGAAGGCAGCCGCTGAAGATATACCGGCCTGGTCTATGCTTGGAGAACATCACTTATCCTGAAAGACCGTCGTGATCAGACCGTACGAAATGGAGCTCTCAAAGAGTGAAATAGAAAAAGCGGCTGAGAGGCTGGTAATCTGGACAGCTACAGCTAGAAATCGCGAAATTGTGATTCGGGTGTTTGGGACCGCGAGACCGTTGTATTTGCCATTGTTGGCGCATGAGACACCACCCCTCGCTCTGAACGCCACGTTAATCGCCTACGATGCGTTCGGGACACCCTTAAACAATCTCTATGGTGGGAAGATGCTCGATACAAGGCGATTAGATGCAGCCAGATTTCTCTGGCGAGAAGGGGAACGGAAGCTTGTGCACGAGATCGCTTCCTTCCTCTTTCCGAATTATTACGGGGAGGACAAGGGGGAGAAATGTAAGGCAAATTATGAATTATTCACACACCGACTCTCGTATGCGTGTCGATCTTTGGCCTTTGTCCTTCGCGTTACATGGTTCAACGTGGAAGACCGCAACCTAAAACATCATATTGTCATGAAAAGTGCAAAGCTTTTCGTCATGGGAATTATACCTTACAAGGAACGGGGCCAGACTCGCTCGATTTTGGAGCAAAAGATTCTCAATTTGACCAATCCCAACAATACAAATAATTCGACTCCTACGTTTATGCGTTTTACATTTCCGCACAAGAAATATGCTCAATGTAAGCGTGTGGTAGGGGGCAACATCAGTTGGTTGTTTACCAAACAATTCGAAGCAGCAGAGGACGCAGAAAACATCTATAGAGTGATCGAACCATGTCCAAATTATGCCCGCCGGGTAGCTGTGATTGACCTATTGTTAAATATGATGACTGAGCTTGGTCAGCGGGAAATTCTTTACATGCTTGACGTTTTGGTCGATCGACTTGAGAAAACCAAGTCAGCGGCCACTGATGTAGACCTGTTGCATGTACTAACTATAACCTATGAGTATGGTCGCGCATTACTCACGCGTAAGTTAGTGGAAGTTAATCAGCCACACTGTTTATGTCATGTAAAATGTAGTGGGCAGACGGGAAGATACCCAAGGGTGGAAGATGCCTTCTACGACAAGGTGTTAGCGGTAAGAGCATCGTTGGCAATTTGCGGGGCCTGTCGACTGGCGCCAACAGTAGACAACACGACCTCGCGCAAACCGAGGCGCACCATAAATGCTCATAATCCAAAGTTGACAACGTGTATTCTAGACCGGAACAGTGCCTTCAAGCTTATTCCACTGTACACTTTGCGGGTAGATGGGTCAAAGGTGACCTACTCACACATGATCTATTGCACCAATGCGGGTAACATCCTAGCGTCTGTTTATGGTACTACCCCAGAAGCACCCGCAAATCAAATTTATGGAATGTGTTTTGGAGGGCATAGGCGATGCTGGCGGAATATAACGCGTAGGCTACCCACGAGCCTACGTAACCCAAACAGCTCAACAACGCTCTACTCTGAGACACATAAATGGTTCAGATGCAGCTCCTGTACTAGCCAGAAGGTCTTTGATCCCAATGTAGACATCCCTTGGGATGCGGACATTCAGAAAGATACCTGTCTTGATTACATCATGACCAAGAGTCGACTGGACCGCAACCTCATCGATGGAGATTGGGCTGAGTCCGTGGCCAAGTATGCCCCCGCGTCATGCAGAGGATGTAGGGCGGCAGCTATGTGTCATCACGTGAGGGAAAACATCGTCAAAAAATGTATTAAGGGTGGGGACAATTTCAGTTTGCTATATAAGCGACTAATGCAAGTCCTGGCCGTCCAACAATGGATTCGAGACAATGGGTTTCAAAACTGAGGCAAAATGTCAAGCCTCTCATAGTCGTACCAAAAAGTTACAGGCAGTCCATGTATGGCGTTGACGGTGGTTTGGATCAACCCATTGACTACAAACCTTCGAGACGGAGCTATATGTACCAAACGCGGACGGGAGAGTTAGACGTTTATATCAGGGGCAACATTACACCTCAAGATGTCAGCGCACTTACACTCATGGCGCAGCATTACACTGGTGTACCCCCAGCAACAGCGACCTTGACCCTGAGTGGTGATATTCTTTATCTTCATATTGACCACGCTGTGAGCTATCTGGAGGACGAGAAGGAGTTGCCGGCTAGACTTCAGCAGGTCTATTTCACTGTGAATCAGGCCAACATGATATATTCACCTCTCCATCAAAAGCTATATACCCTGCCCTTTGTCTGGACTATGCAAAGAAAGGATCCTAAAAATCCACCTACTCTGGACTTGGCTGCTCTTCCGGACTTCCGTCTCTGGGAACATGCCCCAGACGTCAGCCTCCCATTTGGGGGAAAACAATAGCTAAATCCCCCGTGAGAACAAGAAACAAACAAACAAAAAAAGACAATATTCAGCAGCGTACGGGGGGTGTGAGAGTTAACTGCCCCAAGAGAGGGAGTTTGTATTCGACGCAGTAGTACGAAAAAAAAAGAGATATGTGGTAGAAATTTTATTGCAGCATAAAATGAGCAAACAGCGATCTCCCCTACTTGGGCTGTGTGGAGTCGCGTTTTCGCATAGTAGATGTCTTCATAATATGTAGTTGTTAAATGCATGATAAATCGATGTTAATCACCTTACTATCCTTAAGAGATCGGGAGATGTCTTTTTTGGAATAAAGTCGTACAAGGTCATGATGCACTGATGTAAATCTTTATTCACCCTAATAATAGCATACACCTGTTTGTCGCTTGTTGCCGCTCATAACGTTGTGAACTGGGCAAAGAGGTCTGGTCGGTTTATCACGAGGAGACTGAACCCTGCATCAGAAGCGGATGTAAAAGACCCGTATTGTGCTAAGGCGACATCTTCAGATAAATATCTGATGCGACGAAACCCGCCCTGATTGTGATTGTATCCAAATAGGCTACCCATCACTGTATATAAAAATAGAGCGTGTTGTGAGGACTGAGTAACGTCACTAACCCAGCGATTCAACACTAGGGGAAATAGAAACGTTTGGTCAAGGTGATTGGTATCTGCTGTTAAAAAGGCGGAGAGTGATGGTTTGTAAGTGTCGCTTAATACACTTACAACTTGCGATTTGGTTTGGAGTGGATTGTCAATGGGTGTAGTGACTAAAAGTAGATTGAGGCCATGCTCGTGGGGTGGTTTTAGATTAACAAAATAAAGGTGCTTGTGGGTGAGATGAACATAATGTAAGCCCAATACATAACGCAGCCAGCGACATTCGTATCTTTCGTCTACAAAGGCGAGAATAGGGTGTCTTTCTGCGTTTCGCCCAAACAAGATGTGACCAGAGGGCATAGTTAAAAGACCCATATATCTCGTATAATTCCAGTTGGTCGACTCTGTTATGTCAATCTTGTGCATACTATCGGGTGAATAAAAGTCCACTTCGACGCTCATCTTGGTGGGGGAAGGTATGGTAGGACGGGAATAAAAATATTTTTCCACAAGGGGTTTCAATAGTTTGATACCTGTTTTCAGAACGTTCCCGAAAGTCACAGGCTTTGTGGCTTCTTGAATCTTGTATAATTTACAATGTTTGTCCCAGTGGCGCACCGCATACGCCACCATGTTTTCGCGGTCTTCGGTGGACTTTCGTACTTTGAAGTAAGCGCGATACAGAGAATATATGGCCAAGGCAGGGGGTAGCACGTCTATACAACGGTCGTTGGGAGCGGTTGCTGTCGAACTAGACCCGTCTTCTTTATTAGCTTCTAATATGCGAAGTGTGTGGTTCATACTAGGTTGAGGTTCGAGATTGGTGTCCCGGGCACACATGCGACGGACTTCGCCTTCAAGAGTGATGAAATAGGGTGTCCCATTATAGTCTATCCTGGATATGGGCGTGTTTGCTTTGTGTATGTCGGGGAGATGTACGCAGTCGGAAACAGAGATGAGTGCTTTGGAAAACTCCTGCCATAGAAGATTGTGCTGCCCAAGACTGACGGAGGGAGTGTACCCTTTAAACCGATTTCCTCCCCATCGATTTTTACTGTATAGATTAAGAGAGACATAATTGAAGCGATCGATATCACTGTCCCTGGCCGTAATAAGGAGACTTAAGAATGGAGCAATGGGGTGGGTAACCTGGCCGAGAACTGCCTTACGGACAGTCTCTATGGCGGTAAAAATCTGGGTTAAGATCACCATCTTATCCGATAGGGTCAAGACGATGCTATAAAGCTTGACAACGCAGGTGAAAACTTGGTACAGCATAGGTTGATTTTCGTGCAAGATAGCTTGCCCATCCCTATTAAGCAGCTCTATGACTCTTGCCTGATGAAGGCTTAAATCAGTAAATTGTGGGATGCTAGTTACCTGACGGCGCTTTTCGTCATATATGATGTAATGGGGTTCGCCATTTTCGTAACTTTTGTACAGCACCATGACCCTGTTCCCCTGGGCTTGGGGGTCGGCATACTCTTCTGCCGTAATATTTGTCGCGACGATATTTCTCATGAGAAGGTCAAGGGTCTTATCAGTAACTTCGTTTCCTGTAGGATGAGAACCGTAATAATCAGTGCTTTCTGGGGGAAGAAGAGGGCGTTTAAGATGGCGCAGATAGTCGTACAGCCATAAAAGAAGTTCTCGGCTCTTATGGCAGACGAGTCCAAATTCAAACAACACGTCGACTGGTCTTACGTTTCCTTCTGCAGCCAGCATACCAATGAGGCTCATGTCGGCCATGGTCTGACTGTGGGGCAGTGCTAACCTAGCCATGACGGGCAAGAGGTATAGGGGTTGCGGTTGATGCTTGATAAGGATCTTACGGTCGACAATATTTGTCCACGAGAGTCTGGGGACGTGCTCACCCTCGGCGACGCTGACGTCAATACGCATGTCATCTTGTGCCCAAACCTCTAAGCCAGCATATTCATATGACGTGTCTTTAGTCTGGCGCACCTTAAGTAGGTCAGCCATATAATCGATGTGGTTAAAGTTTAACGTACTCAGAATGGAGTTTGGATTAGTGAGCGAAATTAATGTCAACACTTGTTGGACTCGTTCGGCAATTTCTTCTTTTGATTTCCCTTTGGTGAGGAGCGCTTTTGTACAGCGAGGGATTACGCTCTCTTTCGCAATTGCAAACTTCATACCAGCTTCGCCAACAAAAGAATTCGTAATGCTCCGCTGATTTGCCCATATGTGCGGTGGGTCTGGGTACATCATGAGGTGAATGAGGACGGCGGTGAGCTGAGCTGTTCGTGTATTACTAGGCTGATTTTCCTGGGGCAATATGAACGCGTACACATTATGGTCCTTTAGTGTGGCTACTGTGTACTTACAATCCCCGTCCCTCCACGTCTGGGTGTCAAAATTATCTAAAAGCCCGTGTTGCCCCTTTTCAAGAGCCATACGACACCAATCTATAGCACTATGCGACGTCAGCGACATTGCTTTATTTTGGACCCATATTTGGGTGAGCACTTGCGCCGCTGTTATAGTATACGGCATGATAGGAGCCAACTTGAAAGGTCGGGCGGTCTTTTCGATAATCATCTCTAAAACTCCCCATATGATGGCAAACCCGACATCCATATTTTCTGTATTCGGTACGACTGCGCGCAAGATACTGAACAACTTAGTGCTTTTGTGAAGTTTAGTCGGGGGTAGCCTATGCGCGGACAACGTTTGGTCTGTTTCTGCCAAGAGATTGCTGACATCAATATCATCCTGAAGCCTATTTTCCAAACGTTCTTCCTCTGTCCCAACAGTTTCAACTTCTTCTCTTTTGTGTATAGGGATGGGTGGTGCCTCGGTGTTGGCGTTACCTACTGCCCACATGCGATTTGGGAGAAGAGTAGCCAGGAGGTGTTGACTACCCATCAGAAAAGAAGTCATACAATGTGATGCGTTCAGGCGCCCCCACATGGTCGCCGAACACCGAACAGCAATAAGAATCGACTTGATGTCGTCATCAAACCCACTGCTAGCTATGGCATGGGTGGCAATTTGATTGGTTGGGTCCAATAGGAACACGACACCAGAAACACGCTTACAGCGTGCAGACTCTACCATTTCATCTTGAAGTCGAGTTGCATAATTCTCCCAGAATGACCTCATGTTGAAGTAGGGGGCGTGGCCATTTGACAACCTATATAAGGGGGATCCAAATTCATTTAGCGTGAGACCACTCGCTGCTCAGAACAAGTAAACCTTTACCTTTGCACGCGCACCAAATACTGAAATATGTCCAAGACCAAGTACGAGATTCAAACCGACGCGTTTGTTAAAGACCTGGAAGAGGTGCCAGGCCTTTCCCAAGAATTTGCCGTCTCATTTTTGGATGGTGGTATAGTGGCACTGCACAAACGAGTCTTTGCGAATGTAAAGAATTTGCAACAGGATGTGATTTATTTTGAGGATTGTTGCAGCATCAACGGACGAGGCACGGCTTCATTAACCCATGTTACTCCGGGGTCATTCCTTCCCAAACATCCGTCTAAAGTGGACCCTCTGAACGCCAAGACTATACAGAATCTCCCTTACATGAATCGGGTAGTGGTGTTGAGCGGCGGAGACTACTTAGATAAATCAGAAACTCTACTGCCCTCACCTATGACCGACGACAAAATCCAGACGTTTTGTAGAAGTGTGGTCAAACAGGAGCGACCGCGTGAGTTTTTATCAAGCGCGTACGGGATCTTGCAAGCCATGGATCATGCCGTGCTTCCAAATGTAATGGACACCATCTATGAGCAGTACTTTCCTGACATACCTGAAGGGGAGAGGAAAGATTACCTCATCTATGTCTTTGGGACCGCCGAGGTCATGGCCTCCTATGTGATTAGCGTGTACCCTAGAAAACTCGAGATAAAGGGGGATAGGTCTGCCATCTTTGACCAGCAGAACATAGATGACACGGTGTATGTTCATCCTAGCACGCTCAGGGTTGCAATGAATAATAAGCGATTAAACATCGAAGGAGAGCCTCTTGCCCTGGTAAAACCACTGATCCACGGCACCAACCGCAGCATGATACGTAAGACAGAAAAGGAGGTCTTTGATAATATCCTGGGGGTCACAAAAAGAGACACCGCCGTGGAAGAATTCAATAAACTACATAGGGACGTGTTGTGTGTTGATCAATCGGAATACACAAAGCTACCTAATGATCAGTTCTTGGCCAACCAGATGGCGTCTATTGTGCTTAGCCACTTTCAAACCCCCTTTAACCTAGAGGTTGAAGTACCTTCTCCAGAGGTAGCCCTCAATGCCAGAATGAACTTCGTTCTCAAGACTATGATTCGTTGCGAGGAATCGTTCAATGGCGTGGTATCTGCCCACGACGAATTGGCGGCAGCGGTGACGGGTCAAGTACTTTGCAACCAAATGTCCCCCGGAGCCCTGATGACGTACCGAGACGATGGAGACATCAGCAATCCCAGCAAGCAGATGGGTAGGTTGGGAACACAGTTTCCTTGGTTTCAAACCGACCGAACCATAAGCCTGATGAATCGAGCTGGGTTTCTCAAGTACATGGATGAAAATGAGAAGGAGATGGACGACCAACAGCGCGCCATGTCTGAATTAGCAACTGCCATGGACATGACATCGATTCAATTAGCCACACTGTTTGACTTCTACAACATTTTTAGGGCGGAACAGTTCATCAGCAAAACCCAACTGTTTCGAGATAGTGGAAACCCTTTAAAACAAAAAGATGAAGAAGATCTCAAATCCCAAACGGTGAAGATGGGGCAGTCAATGCTTATTAAAGAACTGGACAGGCCCCCGCAGCGAATTTTGGCTTTGTTATATTGCGACCCCAATATGTTCAAGAGGCTGTTCCTACAGTACGGGATGTACCTGCTAGAGAACAATCCCAGTATGGGGCGCGGCGTGCCGAGCATGAAGCACCCAAAGGATGATACAGAGGAATGCAACATTTGCAAGATGCCTTATTATACCACGATTCAGCCCACTGGTGATGAAGGGATATCCCGGGTTGAGTTCTGCATGTGCTACTTTCATATGAAAGTGGTGGGAAAGCTTACAGACATTTTGGTTAACAACAAGGAGGCTGTGGGTCAGGTAGAAAAGCTGTATGATATCAAAGATTCCAATCCGTTCTGTGGGCCAATGACATCCATGAAGTTATTGTTTGCCGTGAGGGCCGCAACCTCTCTGTCACGGATCGGTGACTTTGGAGGCTGCAAACTCAAGCCAAACAAAGAAGATGGGTTCGGGATGCGTTTTAAGAGGAATCAGAAAGCCAGAGAAAGGGGGCAAGCTGTGACAACAGATAAGAGTATCGAGGCACATGGCACCAATTCGAATTTGGCAAAAACATCGTCTCACACTGAAGCGGTCGATAAAAATAGCACGATCAAAAATGTCGTTACTGAGCAAACTGAACAGAACTCGTCCACGTCCTCCAGTGGTGGTAACGATGGAGGTGAAGTAGCGGCGGGACCAGCCCCATCTGAGAATAGTGAAGCACAGAAGAGTGATAGTTGGATGGAGACAATTGCAATGAATCAGATCCTCGCAAATGTTCGCAGAAACTTTCCCTCCATGCTTTCAGAACACCAGTCGACTGTTGAGCCTGACGCCACGCCTTTCCTGAATTACATGAATGAAGTTGTCAGAAAGCCAATGACTCAAGATTCTGGCGCCGTCGAGTGTGGTACGGTGAGACTGCACCCATTAAAAGCCATTGTCCATGCTTTTACCACAGATGCCCGTTATAGTGGTGAGAGTACAGCACTTTTTGTCCAGCATGGGAGCTATACCACTTCGGGACCTATCGGCACTGGGAGGGACTCGAGGAGTAGTCGGACTCGAGCTAGAGGAGAAAGCTGTTGGAGTGACACATCGGCGGCCTCCGAGGCTAAGAACGGAAATGGTAAGAGAGTAGCCGCTACTCTTGGTGATGACGGATTCAAATGGCAAGAAGATGGCACTGCTACGCAGGGACCCGATGCCAAAAAGAGCAAGCTGCTTGAGGTGACGCTGATGAAACAGGAGATGGAGAGGTTTGTTCGCGCCGTCACTCACGCATGTCTTGTGAAAGGAGTAAAGGATAAGACGATCCAAGAAATGTCCAAAGACGAGTTGGTAAACAAGCTGTCACCTGAGATTGTCGCCCACTTAAACCAATGGGGGGCTCTGAGCAGGCAGGGAGTCAACGTAGGTAGACTTGTTAGCGACATGTTTAGTCGCTACTTTGCTCAGGTGTTTTACCCAAAGGCATCAGATGGAGTGATTGACAGGATGCTCGAATTATATCTGGATAACAGTGCCACCACCATCCGTGAAATTCATGCTGATGTCGCCAAAACTCTGAACATGACTCCAGAAGAATTAGACAACAACGCCTTGTCTGCTATTAGTCTATTCTCTTCTACGGATGGAGAGCTAGGAAGTTGGTTGGACCCCGAAACGTTGGGTTCAAGCATCTTGAAACGAAGCGAATTGTTTGCCTACTATGCCTTGGTGCGATATCTAATCAATGTCAGGACCATCGCCAACCGCCAGCCCCAGACCTTAAACAAGCATGTCGTTGAACAATACATGACGCCCAAGGAAGCGCCACACCTCAAACGTATCATTGCCCAGGTGCCAGTCTACCTACCCAAGCAGGATGCTGGTGGTACGTGGCGCTTGGATGAAACGGCCTCCACCCAGCTGACAACCCGGGTCAATGTTGGCATGCCTCTGAACATGAAAATCGAAGTTGTACAAAGCAATCTGGATATGGATGGTAGGAAGAAAAGGGAAATGGATGATGATGGATCTGGGGACAAACGCGGCTATACAGAGGCGTCTGCCGAGACTCTGAGGCTATCTAGTGGGCAGGCGGTGGCTTGTGATGCCAGTAAGACGTTGAAGCCATGGCCTCTCTTGAAGTATTCGGAGAACCCGATGAACAGCAAAACTGCCCGAGAACCTGGAATTCTATTCAAGGATTTGTGCACGGCTGCCAATAATGTTAAAATGCATTGTTTGGGGTTACCTCATACAGTGAATCCAACCATGGTTGAGAACGGGATCAAGTGGTGTAGTCAGTACCTGGACCAACGCCAGGATGGAACACAAAGGCAGATGTTAACAGGTCTAATTGATGCTATGATGAGGGATTTTGAGGCAATGTTCGAACCAATGCTGGAAGTCTTGCGTGTGACTAGGGCCATCGTTAAAAAGTATGAAATTGCAGACGCGGCAGAGAAAATCGGCAGGGACATAGACACGCTATCGAGTAAAATTTACGACAGGAACAAATTCACAATCTCTCGCTTGAGCAGACTCTTCAGAAAGAAGCCTGAACTAATTGCTCCTTTGCTGATCATGATCACAAGTTCTGAGATCTATGGAGCGCCGAGAAAGCTTGATATAGCGCGCTGCGACAGAGAGTTTGAGCGTGACCACGACTTCATCAAAGGGGTAGTGGGGAGCTGTATACGACTGATTAACGGTAAACCGGTCAGACCCAAACCAGGAGGCGATCCCAACCCTAAGCCGAAGGAGATGGACCATGTGGCCGTTCATACGACATATACAGGACAGAATATTCTCAGCGGAAAGCGACTGTTGACCGAAACGTACACAACGCAGAACATTGCTCGCAACATGGTGCTTTTGGCGCAGGTGAATTTTACTTCCTACTACACACAATATACAAATTCAGACAAGGCATTCAGCCGAGTCAAGGTAAACGACACCTTTCGAAGGAACACTGTCACCGCAGCCCTTGCCGGTGTGCCCCCTTCTGGTACGCGGAAGGAGGTGAGTTTGGTGATCACTCCTCTTGCTCACTTCCCTAATGCCTGGATGAGAGGAGTGGGCCACGAGCAAATCCTGGCTAAATTGCTAAAGGGATGTACGATTGGTGAGTTTGTCTCCATCGTTTGGTCAGGGAAACCTAATATCAACAAAATTGCCAGATATCTCCTCAAGATTACGGGAGAAGTGCTGTTGCCGCGAGATAAAAGCAACCCAGACATCTTGCATCCTAGCATTGGAGAAGATGAAGTTGGGAAGGTACTGACGGAACAATTTTGGCCGAAAACGGACACGGATATTCCCGCGTACAAGTCTTTCTCTGAGATAGTGCCAAGACTACACAAGATCATGCGTGGCCAAGACGAGCGTCCGGTGATTGAAGAGACAGTCAACATATATGAAGAAGATGACGGCGAGAATTATGATGATGAGGATGATGATGAGGATAGGTTTGCAAGCCTGGCAGAGTTCATGTAGGCTATCGTTTGTGAGGCAAGATCGTAGTACTGAACATTGTCTATGGTGCCACCATAACAAATTAGAAGCCGTTGTGATATGGACCACGAACAATATCTTATAGATAAAGATGTGAAATGTATACAATAAAGCTGAATATTGGAGACTATGAATTGGGTTGGTATTGTGTTTGTGACTTCACTACCATCAGTAGAATAGGGGAGGAGGGTCTACAGGTCACATGTGATTGATTATACTCCAGGTCTCAAAAGCACGACAGTATTGATGCGATATCTGATTGGAGGACTGCTGAAGTCTGAGGTCCACTAATTGAATGAGGTAATAGGTCAGAATAAGCCAGAATAAGCCGTTTATTGCTTTGAATGTCGAGTGTGATGGGACCGGTCTGCCCATGGGTGGAGGGGCGCCAAAAACACGCCTATATATATATATATATATATATATATATATATATATATATATATATATATATATATATATATATATATATATATATATATATATATATATATATATATATATATATATATATATATATAGTGAGTGAGTGAGTGACCTATAGGGTACATCTACGTCATCGATTTCGTATGCAACATACTTAATCGGAAGTGAGCGTGTCACTGAAATATGTGTAGATGGAGTAAGAGATATCTAATCACAAGTGCAGCTGTTGTGAGTGTTATCCGCTGACTTGGCCCGAAACCTATGTGTAAAATTGGAACAAATGGTGACGTTTTTCCACTGGGCTAAATGAGCACAACTCAATAGTGTCATAATTGATATAGTGTCATTCATCTGGTCATCTATCCACTCTTCACATATGCCATTATTTGTTTCGTCCAAAGTTTCGTCTCTATCTCCATGGTAAGATTGGAGTTGTGACGGCGGAAATGTTCAACTTCCTCAATCGGCAAAGCATTGGGTTCTACTGGCGCAACCAACCATCCATTCAGGACTTCAGTCAATATAGATACAATGGTCTCTCGTCCTCTTCGATTAGCTAGTCTTTGAAGGCACCCTGTCCTTTATTTTTTCTTTCCCTCAAGACTCTATCTTAATCCACGTTTTATTTTTTTAGTACCCGGCAAGGTGCAGTGGGAGTGATAGTGATAATTGGTCGCGAGAATTGCTGCCTCCATTTCGACCAATCTCGAATCGCCTCGTGATTTCGGTGATAAAGTATTAAAAAAAAAACGGACCCAGACCCAATTTCAGTCCATAGTGCAACATGGAAACGTTAGGGTCGGATCTATTCAGCATTCTGAGAGAGCTTCCTTCAGAGTTGGAAGATTTGACTGAAGATGATCAAAAGTCTGAAGATGACATGTGCGATATTGTTTTTGATGACTCTATCGGGATAAACCCAATAAGAGAAGATCGGGGACAAGCCATGGGTGTGTGCGGTGAATCGTTGCTTAAGGTCGACAAGGACTGTTTAGATGATGGCGTCTGTGGTTCAGAATGCATGCCAACCGAAACAGAACTGAACAGGAATGAAACGGTGGGGATAAGTAACACTGCGACGATACCCCCGACGGTCGGGACGCAAAAACCTGTCACCTACGATGGTCACGAAGACATTAGGCAACAGGCTCTCGAGGATCAACACGAGCCTCCATCCAAACACGACTTTGAAATGGACCAGAAACTCCTAGAAGAAACACTGGTCCGCACGTCTAGTCTTATGGGTCAGGTACATGTTATGGGGAGCCGAGACAAAACATATGGTGGTTCTACTTCAGATCAAGGCATAAATATACATACGTCTCGAGGTGCCCGCAATATTGTGCATGTAACCCGGGAGACAGACAACGAAAATGATGGCATAATGGAGGATCTTTTAGAGTTTGTTAAAAATTCTGCGCACGAGGAGCTGGTGGACGAATTCCCTGACCTAAATGAGCCTGGAAAAGCCTCATTGCTAATCGACAAACGCAGTCAGCCACCTTACATGGATATGGCCTGTCACGATTTTGGCAATATTGACTTGGGAAAGGACCTGTCAAGACAGCTGACGCCGGACATAACCCATTGGGTAGATCACTTGGCGAGCGATATGGATAATCCTGAGATAACTGCAATGGTGTTTGACATTAAGGAGATCTTACAGCGCCGCTGTAATAGAAACGAGCAATGCGCCTATACGTCATATTTTTTCACAGAACTTTCCAGAGATTTTACAGCTGGAAGAGTGGTTTATTCAGATGATACTCTATCCCTTATCATGGATATTCCTCAACTGCTGTCTTCGGACAAGGAGAAACGTGTCTACATTGAGATGTTACACAAATTGTTCCATCCGCGACAAGGTGAAACGAATCTACAACACACCCTTTGTATATGCTGTCTTGTATTAGTAAACAGCAACAATCAGTTGATGGCAATGAGCGGTGGGCCTGCACAGAGGCAGGACATGACAAAGGAAAATGTATTCCTACTTCAGCGAGAGGATCAAGAAAACTTTTTCGACGTGCTGAAAGAAGTAGATTATGAAACCCAAGTCATTAACGTGCATGGCTGCAGCGTTGCACAATTAAGCTACCGAATTGATTTTTCAAACTACGCAATCGAAAAGAATGCACTGACATGTCGATGGGAAGTAAGAAAACTCAATGCACCTTCTCCCAACCTCTGTTTATTGTGCCGGGCCAATAATCACAGCATGTGTTTACAGCCGTGTGGTCATCTCGGCGTGTGTGAGATATGCGCAGAAGGACTGAAGAAATGCCCATTCTGCCGGTCTGATATAACTGAAGCGGTTAATTGTTTGTGAATAAATTCATTTTTATTTAACCATACGTGTATCTGTCATATCTCTGACACCGTAGTTAGTCGACATAGTGGTCAGGCGATTATATCTAGACAGCGATAATTGTTTGAGGTGAATGGTGAGATAACATATGCACCCACACTTTTCGCCTGAGCATTATCGGGAGTGATGCTTTCGATACCATATATCCAACTCTTGTGACCACTGATAATCAACCTGGGCTTCTTTATATAGTTTGAATCGGATATAAAAGAGGACTGTCGCTCGTCCATGAAATAATCTTTCAAGCTCTGTCCGGCTTGCACCAGTACATCGTCTGTGAGGTCGTATTCACTACTTTGCGCATAGCAATTAGGATGCTGATCTTCTATCTCTTCTATCACTTTAAGCTCTTTCTTAAGCTCATGTCGCGTACTAGAGCCTGAATCCGTATAAAGACCGGGTACTTGCATATAGTAGAGATAACGAGTACGTAATTTCTCTACAGCCATGCTGTTGGTGGGCTCTACCTTATAGCTACACGTCCACTCGCTTTAGTTGGCTTCTTCGGGGTAGAAAATTACTCCTACAACTTCAACAATGTTCCCGTTGTTTCTACAGCGCTTGACACGCATGCGCGTCCCCACATTCTGCGCATTATCAGCAATGGTATGCTCGCATGCCTTGAAGGTTTTCATGGAATTCCTCTTTCCTCTCGATATTATATCGAAGGGATCCTTGAACCGCGGTGCGGGTTGGATGAACATGGATCCAAGGAAACGATACACTAGTGTCTTTTCGCACAACATGGCATGGGAATTGTGTGGCTGAGGTATGGTAATTGATCGTGACGTCAAAACGACCACTTATTGACCTATTATTAGCAGCGTCAGCACCCGGTGGAGGTGGGTCATTATAAGCCGTCCCATCTAAAGCTGAGAGTTTGTATTTACCCATAAAGGTTGCCTCTGTCAGCGGCATGTCCTGTGTGCTTCGGAGCTGCGTAGTAAGCAACACACCGTCTGCCGTTATCATATCCTGTTTAATTTGAATGCAAGACAGACGAAGGGGGGAGTGGACAGAAAGGGTCAAGGTAAGCCAGTGCCAAAATCAAGTGAAACATTGGCCATCCTCGCTTTCTTACCATCGTCAGCATGGCGACAACTGAACTCACATATACCAATGCGTACGAACCTTTCAACGAGCAGTGTTTTCGGGAGGAATGTGGTACAATACCCGCTTATATTCTCAATCGATGCGAGGAAAAGGTGAGACTCTCCTCTCTACGCGTGGATCACACTACGGCTTTTATCCGACCAATCGTGCTTCAATGTGTTGAAGGACGCATTACACCAGAGGTAGCAAAACTCAATAAGTACGGAAAAGAAGAGGTGTATTTGAATGTATATGGATTGCGTCCTTCCGTGTCTCTTACAATACGTGATCAGAGCAGTATTTCTAAATGGTTCACGCCCCACTATCTGAATAGTATCGTAAATCGGATTCGTGAAATGGGAATTGAAACTATTGTCGACGCTAAACTGGTCCATAAGTTCCCCTTTAACCATGCTGCTGAGGGTAGTTTATATCATCTTAAATTATACTTTGGTGGCAGCAAGAATCCACAGTTGTGGCGGCTGCGCCAATTGCTTCGGGAAGATATAACTACCGGCTCCTTATTCTTACCCGATTTACTGAATTCGTCGATCACCCCGCACACGAATTGGTTTATAGCCAATCGAGCCCCAGTTTTAGGACTTCTTAAGGTAAACAAACCTATTGGAGCGAAACATCTCCATTACAAACACCCCTTCAAATGTGGGACCGCCTACTATAAAGATATAGAATTCCAGACCAACTCTGACCTCACCATACCCTGGGAGGATCGTGAGCAGCACACTGAAGCCATCCGGCACAAGTTTGACGAGATTCTGGAGACATGCGGTTCCCCTGCCTTGAAAAAAGTATTGCGTCATAATCTAAAGAAGGTCAGTACCTGTGCAGGTGAGGCCTGCACGTGGCAAGAGTTTAAGGCAGCCTGTATTTACCCCATCTTGGTATGTGGTCGATCGAATCCTGGGATTGAAATATGGCGTACAACTATACACCGCCTTTGGAGAAGCATTACAAAAACGATGGACCGTATAGATGAATATGAAGATGAGAACGACGTCTTAGCTGAACAATGCCGAATTGAATTTAAACTACGGCTGGCAGCAAAGGAGTACTGGGAAAAGGTCCTGGTGAGCCAGTACTTGACCGAACACCAAAAAACGGCCCGTATCGAGCAATTGATGGAGCACACTAAAACTCTGAGAGCTTTATTCTTTGACATTGAAGTGTCTTATGTTCCCCATTGTCGAAACGAGTCTTCCTTTGAAGTCAACCTCATCTCTACGGTTCTGAGCAATTATATGACAGACCAGCCGGTAGAGGCTGTAAACTTTATGCTGCTTGCCGGTCGCCGCCAAGATGGGGGACGAGAAGAACGTGCTGCTATGAATTTAAATGTGGCCAACATTTGTAGGATTTCATCGCAAGGAGTGAAGGATCCAATCTTTGATCAAAACAACGTGGTTATGAAGTACTTTAAAAAGGAGAGGCATCTCCTGAGCGCCTTTATTGACTACGTACGAAACTGCAAGTCTCACATCGTGGGCTACTTTAATGGGCACAAATTCGATTTTCCCTTCATTGTTGCCAGATTGAAATATCTCAAAATGACCAGTTACATGACAGATTCACGGGTTCAATTGGATGCAGAAAGAAGACCCCGCTACATAAACTTTTCGCTGACGCACCGACTCGATCAGATCCAAATTAAGTACCGCCGTAAACCCAACAAGAAGAGCTTTCAAGATGTCGGGGTGGAGCTGCGTGCTAAAGGAATCGAACAAGCTCGTGGGGAAGCGGCCAATCGTATTGAAGACGAGGATTTAGATCAACTGTATAAACATACAGAAGTGGATGCATCGAATGCTAATCATCAAGGTTGGGAAAACATGCGAATCTTCGGAGAGAATGGCCCCGACAGCTACCCCTTACTATCCACGTTAGAACAGACCGGATCGGCAGAACATTTCGAAGAACGTTGCCAATGCGGCATTAGTACCGCGTTAATAAATGCTAAACAACATCGAAATTTGGCAAGTCATACTGTGGCCCTGTTAGATGTTATGTATGAAGTTGGTGACCCCAATCGAGGCTGTAAATTGGAAACAGCTGCAGAAAAATGGCTCAATACCACCAAAGTTCATGACGAGAAGGTTTCGTATGAAAATATAACAAACACATGGCGCAATGGAAGTGTCGAAGACCTTGAACTCTTTTGTGGCTATTGTCTCAAAGACAGTGGGCTTACCTATGCTCTAACCAACGTGCTACAGACCTTGACATTTGCCGCAGGAATGGCTGAAATTAGTACCCTCCCCTTTAGGGAGCTTTTTCTAAATGAGATGGTTAGAACAGTAATGTCGTCTTTGGCTTCTTTTAGTTACAAACAGGGCGTGTACATGCCTGACACAACCTTGGTTCGTGACGAAGGCCTACTGTGGGAGCCAGGGCATGAATTCAATGAAGAAATTGATATCTACAACTTAGCTGTTCCTGCGGGCCGCACTGTGAATAATAATGGTTTGTATAATCTACTCATCACGGTGTTTGATTTCAGTGGCCAATATCCCTCAATCCAGAGAGCACATGGCATTTGCGCCACAACCCTATTGCGAAAATCATTTGCAAAGAAGCTGAATCCTGACCAATACACCACTATCGAACTCCAAAATGTACGCCCCGTGGTGGAACATGCTTGCCCTGAGGAAAACTGTGGCGGTGGCGTCGAAGGTGTAAAGGACCCGCGCATGTGTACTTACAGACACCACTTTGAACGGATCAATTTTGAGGTCTACTATGCTAAACACAACGTCTTTACCGGCATCATGCCTCAGTTTTTGAAACTCATGGCCAACTTGCGTACAAAATATAAGAATCAAATGGCACAGACCAGCGACCTTATAGAAAAGGGCCTTTACAATGTGTTACAGAAGGCCGTCAAATGTGCCATGAATGCAACCTATGGAGTATGTGTACGTACTGCGGGTCCCGTGGGAGCGACTATAACACAAGTGGGCCGAAACCAGATTGAATTTGTGGCTCGCAAGGCAAAAGAAGCGCAAATGTACGTCGTTAATGGCGACACGGATTCCGTCATGATTTCTGACAAAAATGCCACCACTGGACCTGAAGGTCAGGGGCGCATGTCGTGTCTGAGTCGTAACTTATGCGGTAAGAATCGCGCCTCAGTTACTGAGATTTTTACCAAGTATTTTGAGAAACAAGAGAAGTTTTGTAACTACTTGAATTCGATGTTTCCGCATCCTTGCAAGATTGAGTTAGAGAAAGTGTTTCTCTTCCAATGTATGTTTCACAAGAAATGTTACTACGGACAGAAGGTCATTCCCGGCTCACTAGCTCTAGTAGCTCACAAAGCTGGCTTGACAGGCATTAAGGCCGATAGGACGAAGGTGAAAACGGCTGCTCAAATCGCTACAAGTAAGATGATTGGACGCAATGATATTTGCGGTCTTGTAAAATTCGCCGAACTACTGTATGAAGTCGTGACCGTGCGCATGCGGGCACAGGAGATTGCTGACCAGCAGGTTAATGACTACTGCGACCTAATTGATTACGAACTAGAAGATTTTTATGAGACTCTCCCAACTTCTCAGAAGACGGGTGACCAGGATATCTATTTACCTAGCCAGAGAAGACGCGTCTCCCCATCGACTTTAAAACATGCTTACCATCAGTCTTGTACGGCTCGAGAGGATCTCAAAAAATTTGACGACAGCGACACCCATAATGCTTTGGTTGAGAAATATTCTCACGGTAATATCCTGCCTTTGGATTGGATGAAGAGTGTGGAGAAGGTGGGCGATATTAATGAACCAAAGACGCTGGCTACTAAACAGGCTATCCGGGCCTGCAAACGATCAGGCGTTGATCTTTGTACCGCTCCAACATTCGTTGAGTTGTTCCGAAAACATGATGTTCAGGTCTCGGCCACTTTAAAAGATAGCTTGCAGGTGTTGCTCCATGCCATTGAAGAGCCTGAGGTTCGTTGTCGGAGAGAACAGATTGAACGTCAAGAATTAGGAGAAAAAGCATGGGCCATGGAGCAAGAAAAACGTGCTGCCCGTCAAAGACGAATAGAGACGGCTAGTAACACCATAACTCGGCTATCCGTCACAGCAATGCCTAGAGAACTGGTAGCGCCTGAAGAGGAACGCGCCTACTTTACCGAGAAAGAACGCGCCAAAATTTATCATGTAATTAAGAAAATCGAGACTTGGGATAAGAAGATTGCATACGAGCGCAAGTGTAATTTCAAGGAGATTGTATTTGATTTACCTGAGAAACACAGCGAAGCCGATATTGCTCAACTACGCATGTACATTGACGATTTGGAAGAAAATGAGCCACATCTACCCATTTGGTGGTACGACGAAGCTTATTGTTTAACCCAACCGCCTCCACCTGACACTTGGTGGGATCTGCCTGACTCAGGAGCAGTGTGTGATTTTTGGTGTATGTTTAGCAAGACTGACCTAACGAGACGTTATATTCATATTTCGGGAGGACCGGTGTCGCGCATCATGCTTAGTAACGACGTGTTAAAAGATGCTAAATTTTTAGACGTAAACCAATCCTCTTGGAACAAGCAGAATGTCTACTCGATTTCTATGACGGATGAAACAGAATACTTTAGCCTGGATATGGGTGGGCGCTATGCTTTACAAACATCTTCTACACCGGTTTTGCTTACCTCTATAGATGGAAAACAGCGTTATCTCACTAATAAGGATTCTTTCTGTCATAACACCCGCAACAGATTTAGTTTTGCTACACAGTTGGATCAGCTGATGACAACAAAGCAACGACTTGCCCCAACATCTAGCTGTTACAATGATATTATAGCTATATACCCCAAACAATACACGAACAAAGTAATTATCCGACACAACACCACCGGCACAAAACACGAGCTGATTGATGTTGCCATTTTACGAGACGACAATCGCTTAGTTGATACATGGATATTCGAGGACGGACCATTCTACATGAGGCTGGGAGAGTTGCATAACATCATCAACGCTGTACAGCTGCCCAATCAACCTGCCAGGCTGAAAGTGATAGAACTTAGGTTTGAAGATGAGCCCATGAACGCTGTGTTGCGTGTTGAGAGGGCTATAGATGTAAAAAAATGGACACATAACATTAGCAAAGATCCAGACACCCTTCCGCCGTTTGTGAGTAAAGTTTATGATATCTTCACAATGTCAGCTCAGTCTGGTATCAAGGCTCAGTCTGGTATCAAGAGAGGCCGTCCTGAAATACCATGCGCCATTCGTCACCTCAAGAAGCCCCGTATCAATGTTCTTCCTAAAGCGTCTACAAAACCACGAGGTGTTAGGAAGTGCATGGACAGTAAAAAGCAGAGCAGCCTTACTGGTTTTTTGAAAGTTAAAGAATGATTGATAGTAACAGTTTTATTTGTATAATGAGGAAATAAAATAAAGAGTTTTTTTACTTTTATTCTGGTCTAACCTTCGTTAACTAACGTTAACCTTGCCAGCAAATTTAAGAGACATGTTAGAGAATAGTTAAACCTTTATTGTTAGATCATAGAAATACTCTGTACGTAAGATGACGTTACCAACACATTTATTTATTTATCCTTGTTAGATCTTGAGTTGTAGAAGGCCATAAAAAAGTCCCTGTACTGTTTTTTTGTTGTGTCAATAAAGAATCTGTATTAATTCCCACTTCATGCATTTAATCCTTTCGGAAATCTATTTAGAATGCCTTGTAATGGAAATTTCGGAGTATAGTGCAAGACCGATTCTTTATTCTGAATAAAACCAATGGTGATTATGATAATGATATTTATAAATATAATTATAAGTTCTTTAAGAACAAAGGAGATCCCCTTGAGTACAAAAACTACAGGGGTATATCACTTATGAGCCATATTGGTAAACTATATGAAAGAATCCTGGAAAGACGACTGAGACAGAAAACAGAAAGTCTGCTCAGTGAAAGCCAATGCGGCTTCAGACCAGGCAGGGGAACTATAGACCAAATAGCAGCGCTGAGACTGTTTATGGAAAAGAGTTGGGAATACTCAATTGAACAACACATATGTTTCCTCGACCTGGAGAAAGCATTTGATAGAATACCAAGAGAGAAGATGTGGACAGTCATAAAAGAAACTGGAATAAGTCTCAGACTCCTTAGAGCCATAAGAAGTACATATGAAAACCAGTGCAGCACTGTACTAGGTGGCACTGCATACTTTGACACCAATATTGGTGTGCGCCAAGGAAGCGTCCTTTCTCCACTCCTCTTCATTATTTACTTTAACCATACAATCCAGGTCATAGAAAGAAAGGACTTTGAAATAGAACGATTTGGATATGCGGATGACATCGCACAGACTGGGAATAGCATATGGAAACTACAAAGAGTTATGACCCAGTGGGATCAAGAACTGTCTAGAGCGAGCTTGAAACTAAGCTATGAGAAAACAGAGTATATGAGAGTCGGCCGAAAACAAAGTAAGGGCTCCATATCGGTCAACAACCACACTCTCAAACGAACAACTAGCTTCAACTACCTAGGCAGTAAAATGACCTCCGATAATATGACTGAAGAGGAGATTAACAACAGGATCACCAAATTGACTAAGAACTTATGTGCCCTTTATCCTCTACTGAAAAAAAAAATGCATACCCAGAGACGTTAAAACCTGTATTTATACTACAATATTGAGACCTGTATTGTTATACGGAAGCGAAATCTGGACTCTAACTCAAAAACTAAAAAGTAGGATACAAGCTACTGAAATGCGAGTGTTACGACTCATCTATGGTGTCACAAAAAGAGACAAAATCAGGAATGACATCATCCGTGGAGCACTTTCAGTTGAGTCAGTACTCTCCATTGTGGAAAGAAACCAACTGAGATGGTTTGGACACCTACAGAGGATGCCGGAAGATAGGGATGTGAAGAGAATCTTTAATTGGAAACCCAAAAAAGAAAAGACCAGCCGGCAGGCCAAGAAAAAGATGGTTGGACCAGATCATTGAAATCACCAGAAGAGAAGAGCCAGACTTCCGAGTAGTTAAAGAAATAGCTGAAGATAGAACAGAGTGGAAAAGACTGACCAAGAGGCTGACAAGGCGTCAGGGTGAGAAGGGGGTGAGAATTATAAGGCAATCTGTGTTTGCAATGCAAGCAAAATACAAGATAAAACAGGCTGAAAAAAGGTTAAAATACCGCTTAGTCATCTGAGAAGTTTGAGCTAAAAATAAAAATATAGGACAGATGTACAAATAATATTAATTACTTTTTAACGACTTACACACTCCAAAAACGTTACATTATACTTTAATGACTTCCTTGAAATCCTTGTCATCTGGCAACCATCAAAGACTGCATAATTATCGCGTGGCTGTTCAATACTTCTATGGCTAAATTTAAAAAGTCGAATCTACAATGTTCAGTGTACAAAATATCCAGTCAGAAGCTCTGAAGAAGGTGTCTGACAGACACCGAAACGTCAGCGAGGTGAGACTCTTCGGTTGTGTAAAAAGAATTCCCTTATCTCTTAAGTGTACAAAATAGCCTGACATTGTTTTTGAGAGCTTGAACTAAAATAAAGTATACGACAGATGTACAAATAACGGTAATTACTTTTTAATGACTTAAGCACTAAAAAAAGTAAATGAGATTGTTAATGAGAAACATTAACATTCCTCGAGTTTATGTCCACAATAAGGTCCTATATATGAGGCTTCTTTTCTAGGTCTTGTATAGATCTCGACTCTCTACAATTATCGACTTTCCAATATACTGATATAGCAGCGACGAAAAAACGTAAGTAATTATATTTCATACTTAAAGAGGCCAGTAATACTATATAATGACCCCACCCTGTCGATATTTACTAGTTAGTCAGAATATAAAGTATACTACTAATGACAGCTCTGGCTTGCCGTGTAGATGCTGGGGACAATGTGCTGATGACGTGTTGAACAAAGTAGCGAGTAGGCCGAGAGCATGCAAACATGAGGAATCCCTGACGACCTGACAAATTCTGAACTCTAATTGCTGGAAACATACAATCTATTTGACGAACGAGTGTCCTACATCCTTTTGTGCTGCGTGTGTTCTTGCTAGCCCTGAAGAAGCCTTTGAAGTGATCACAGAACGTTGGGCCTTTGCGTACTGTTTTTCATGGGCTCCCTTGGAAATGGTGTCAGGACAACTCGGCACCTGGGACAACTCGGCCCCTGGCCATTTGAGACAACTCGGCACCAACCCCAGGACAAGTCGGCCCCATAAATTATTTCTCAACAAATCATCAATATTTTGGGCTCCGAGAATTAGTAGCCTCCTGACAATAATCTTAACTTCATTCTTTTCTGAGACATGTTATTCTTTTTGTGATGACGGACTTGACCGCGCCACTCAAAGAGTTAAATTACGAGTAAACTCACGGGGTCATACTATGTATAAGTAGTTTCATGCCCGCCCGCCGAAAACATACGAGGATACAATTATAAAAGAACGTTGAACATTTACCACTACATGCTTCACGATTCCATGAAGTCTCTTTATCAATATAAATTGTAAGTCTAGCCGTTTCTTGGATCGGCACGCTTTAGATTACTCGGACGGGCCGCGCCGACATAGCGCCGATAGCGCCAGGGGCGTTACGCTAGCGGCGCAGGCCAAGTCCGTTGTCGCTATAAGAAATACTAACGTTACTGTATGTCACTGAGACTCAGAAAAAAGTTAAAATCAGAGTCAGGAGGCTTCTAGATCGATAACAGTTACAATTTTTTGACCCAAAATTCATATTATTTGCTGAGAAATTATGGGGCCGACTTGTCCTGGGGTTGGTGCCGAGTTGTCCTGAATGGCCAGGGGCCGAGTTGTCTCAGGGGCTGAGTTGTCTTGGAATCCTTTGAAATCACCCCGTTTTGGCTGAAGGAACGATCCGTTAAAAAAGATAAATGAAAAAAAGTATCCAATAAATTACTACACCATTGGTCGACACGTTTTTTCTTACCGGGTGAGCAAGTGGTCCTAACAGGAGAGTCGTTACCACCGTATACGATAATATGATAATCTAATGTTTGTTTTCATGTTTTTTTAACAGTTGCGATGGACGAATCATGGCAAAACATGTGTGATGAGGCTGACGCCTATGTTGCTGAAGCCACGACATCAATGGAACCGCGGGATAGAGCAGTTCTGTTTATGAGACTGCAGAGTAGGAGATATGCCGCTTTCAGACAGCAAATTCAGGAGATGTGCGCCAGGGATATGGCGGCAATGGTGGACGATTTTAGGATCTTATTTGAGCGCCCGGCCCAATCTCGTTCTTTCCAACATTCATATAGCAGGCAAACCTCTGGAGCGGCGCCGGATCCCTTTGTGCTCCAGGCGGGCAGAGAAGATTTCCAGCAGGATGAAATATTAAACGAAATATGGAGACAAATACTTAACTGGCACCAATTTTATCCCATTATCCCCAATCAGGCTCAATATAATGATGATGATAATGTGTTTCCAGACGCTAACCCGCACTTAGGGGCCACACCGGCTCAGCCTTATTATAATCAATCTTATAATCTTCCTCACCCTCCAATCGGATACCCAGGGGCCACAACGACTCAATCTAGTAATAATATTACTGCCCATGGTATGGCTCAACCTTCCAACAATACCTCGCGAGGCGCTTCTTGCCAGTTTGAACAAGTTAGCTCATCTGGGTCAGGCTCACACTCAGCTGAAGAAGCAATGCCACCCTCGGATTCAGAGGGCCCTATGTCAAAGGAATCACTGAGCCCCTAGAAAGAGTGTTCAGAAGACACAATATCTCCACCGCAGTAAAACCAAATACCACACTGAGGAGTCTGTTGGTCCACCCAAAAGATAACCTAGATGACACGGCAAAAAACGGACTGCATATACAAGATCCCGTGCAAGAGCTGCAGTGAAGTTTACATAGGGGAAACGGGACGCACCTTTGGGACTAGATTGGAAGAACAGAAGAGGGAAGCTGACAACATGGACACTGTGAAGTACGCAAGATCACAGAAAAGACAGAAAAAGAAGAAAAGAAATCAGCAGTGACAGATCACATTGCTAGAAACAACTGCGTAATTGACTGGGAGGGGGGGGGCGAAAGTTATAGACAGAGAAGACAATAGAAGAACCCGCTGGATCAAGGAGGCAGTTTAGATCAGAAAGTCAGCCCCTGTAATGAACCGGGACGAGGGGGGTACAAACTAAGCTACGTTTGGGATAGTGTTCTCGCCGCAAAAGCGCAACCTACATGTACATCGGCTACATATAGCGGCGAGATGCAGGACTCCACTCAGAAGCTCTGAAGAAGGTGTATGAGAGACACCGAAACGTCAGCAAGGTGAGAATTACCGCTTGTGTAAAAAAGAATTAACCG